ACCCTTTGCTCTGGGCACAGCAGCCCCAGCTGGGACCCAGAAGCTCCTTCTTGCTGGTGGGCCCCAGGAAAATTTCTTGGTTCCACTTCCTCTAATCCTCATCAGGCCCTGGGAGGCAGGAACCTTGTACCCATTTTCCAGATGTAGGTGGCAATACTCCAAGAGTGCAAGGACTTGCCATGTCCCTGAAGCTGGTGTGTAGCAGAGCTGGGGCTGAAGAGCTCTTGCCTCTAGTTCCTGGACCCCCACCCTCCCTCTGGGGTCATGAGCTCCAGGAGCAGCCTGGGGCCTGTGAAGAGCAGGTGCTTGGGGGAACATCTGGATGTCAGGCAGACTACTGCCTCCTCCAGGGGCCCCAGGGATGCCCCTCCCTGCCCACCTCCCTCACGTTCTCGGGTCTCCTGTTTTGTTTTTCCTCTTCGCTCGTGGGCTCGCTTGCCCACTTTGGGTTCCTCATTCAGATCCTCCATGCCCTATTTGGGGATGGGGGGTGGCTGAGGTTCTGTGTTGGGAAAGCCTACTACGGGAAGAGGGTGGGAACTGACAGCTATCCGGAGGGCGGGGTGGGCCTGGGGGGGAGGCTGGGGGCATTTTTCCCATGATGTCCATCAGCACCTGCCGTTGTGGACCCGCTGTCCCATTCTGCCCCACGCCCTGTGTGAAGCCAGACTTGCCGCTGCCTGTCCCTCAGTGCTCTAGACCAGCGCTGTCCACGAGCACAGCCTGGGGCGGCCGAACTTCGCCAGATCTGTGCTGTCAGGCACAGGGGCCACGTGTGGCCCATGAGCACCTGCGCCATGGCTAGTGCGCGCCGGGGGCACTGGATTCGTGTTATGTTTCTGTGAACTTTAACCTCAGTAGCCTCCCTGCAGCTGGACTGCAGCACTGGAAACACACAGGCTCCCCCAAGTGAGTCTCGGAGCTGAAGGCAACACTGGTGACGAGTTGGCCAGGGTTGCTCATGGGTCTCAGTGAGCGGATTCCAAAATCCATGTGGAAGAACCCCCGCCCGAAACAGCCAAGACAGTTTTTACGAAGCCCAAAGGAAGGGGTTTTGCCCTAAGAAGCAAACGCACGAGACCCCAAGCCTGCTGCTCGTGGAGGAACAGACAGGCCCTGGAACAGTTAACGTGGAGCTTTACAAGCGTCTTCGTTTGGTTCCCTGATCTGTCCGGGCCCCTGAAACACAGCCTGGTGTGTGGCAGGCGCTCAAGAAATAGCTGCTGAATGAATGAAAAGGTCCCATTCATGAGGAATTAGATGGGACTTCAAGTCCACGAAGAAAGGACAGATTGTTGAATAAATTGTTTGCAAACAACTGGCTAAGCTCTACAGAATAATAGAAGTTGGGGGGCGCCTGGGTGGCTTAGATGGTTGGGCGCCTGGCTTCAACTCAGGTCAAAATCCCAGGGTTCTGGGATCGAGTTCTGCATCAGGCTTCTTGCTCAGCAAGGAGCCTGCTTCTCCCTCTGCCTGCCGCTCCCCCTGCCTGTGCTCCCTGTCCCTCTTTGACAGATAAATAAAATCTTAAAAAAAAAAAAGTTGGACCCCTCACCTTGTGTGGTTCTCCTCTCCAAAACAAATTTCAGCTTAAAGTCCTAAAGGGCATGGAAATACACTGAAAAAAAAAATTTTTTTTTAAAGCTATTTATGATTTGGGGCAGAGCCTCTTTTAATTTTTATTATTATAATTATCACTGTATTGATGATTTGGGGCAAGGCCCCTTTAAATTATTACTATTTTTAAGGTAGGCTTCATGCCCAGCGTGGAGCCCAATGCAGGGCTTGAACTCACCACCCAGAGATTGTTACCTGAGTTGAGATCAAGAGTTGGACGCCTAACCGACTGAGCCACCCAGGTGTCCCTGGGCAGAGCCCTTTTTAAAATAAATAACATGAAAAGCCAAAGAAATGAAACAAGAAAATACGAATTTAGCTAATTAAAATTAAAACCTTCCTGTACAGCATGGTGACTGTGCTTAATAATACTGGATTGTTTACTTGAAAGTTGCCAAGACAGTAGATCTTAAAAATCTCATGGCAGGAAAAAACAAATTGTAACCACGTGTGGTGAGGGATGGTAACAACTTCTTGTCATCATTTTGCAATATACATAAAAAATGGAATCATTACCTAGTACACCTGAAACTGATGTTGGATGGCAATGATCTCAATTTTAAAAACACAACAAATTATAAGCACTTTTGTTAGATGAAAAAGCACAAAGTTAAAAGACATATATCTGAGAACCACTGAACCGTGGTTCAGTGAACACTGAATTCACTTTATAAGGGTGAATTTTAGGATACTGTGAATTATAGCTCAAAAGAAAACAATTTTAAAGACCAACGACAGACAGAAAATGTTTGTACTTACAAAGTATCAGTATCCACAACAAATAAAGAACTACTGGTAAATCAACATGACAAACATGACAAACATGACAACATGACAAACAGCCTGAGAGAAGAAAACGAGGCAAGAATATAAACTGGGGGCCCCTGGCTGGCTGAGTCAATGAAGCATGTGACTCTTGATTTCAAGGTTGTAAGTTCAACCCCCATGTTGGGTATACAGATTACTTAAAAAAAAAAAAAAAAAAAAAAGAGACACAGATGCTCTATTGCTCCATTTTAGATGCTGGGAAATGCAAACTAAAAAGACCAAGAGACAACCATGTCTACCCTTTGATTGGGGGTGGGGAAAGAACACAATGTTGCCAAGCATGTGGGAGAAGGAGGACCTCTGAGATCCAGCAGCAGAGAGAGGAAATGGATAGAGCTCCCCTTTAAAGGCTAAGTTTCCAGTGAAAAATGTGCCTACCTCAGCCTCCATAATTCTGCTTTTAGCTAGCTTCTCTACAGACTCTCTTGAGAGTGTATGTAAAGACACTCCTTGTCCTCTAGAGTTGGTAATTACGAGGAAGTGGAAGCAAGGGGCCAGTTCAATCGTATGGCTAGCCCCACACCAGGAATCACTACAGAGCAGCAGGAGGGAGGGAGGTGGCCCATGCACACTGATGGGTTGGGGTGGGGCGGGGGGCTGGCTCTCCACCAGCAAGCTGTGCAGTAATATCCCAGTAGGATGACGTCCACAATCCCAGGCCCCAGATAATGTCAGCAAGGCCACAGCGGCAGCAGCTAACACTTGGAAAGGGCTTCCTCGGTGCCAGGCACTGCTCCAAACACTTCACATACCTGCTTCCTTACAACTCACACCCTGTGAGGTGGACACTATTGGGCCCAGAAACACTGTACAGACGGAAGGCCAGGCTGTGGGCCAGGGCAGTCTCGCCTGGGAGCTGTGCTCTGAGCCATGGCTGTCTGCGGTTCCTAAGAGCGCACACATGCACGGAGTGAAGATCTGGGAGGAGAGACTCCAAAAACGACAAGAGCTTAAGGGAACATTATCCTAACTGGAAGGCTTTCATTTTCCACGGGGAATATAGTCCCGTACTGCACCCATAACTAAAATCAGAGCTAGAGAGCATCTATACAGACCAACGCTGGTTGGTGGAGGGACTGTTTTTTTCTGGCCTCCACCTGTCGACACGGCTGGGACCCCCATATCAGCGATGTGGTGGGCTCGGGCACTAAGGGAGCCCCCAGGTCAGTTCAGCCCCCTGCCCAGGAGGGCCCTGGCCTGGGTCTTTGAAGACCTGGGAGCTGGCCGTACCCAGAAGTGGGTGGGAGCAGACTTCTGGGACAGAGCTCAGGATGGGCTCAGTAGAATATGGTCCTTTTGGCTAATGTGCTGGCTGGCCACAGCTCGTGCAGTGGTGAGGCTGTCCCTACGTGCCGTGAGCCATGAGCTGATGGGGGTCTCAGGAGAGAGCTCCCAGGCGGATGCAAGGTCCTTGAGACTCGAAGTTCTCAGCTGAGTGAGGACCAGCGACCCAGAACCTGCTGACTGCTCGCATGTAAACGTCCTGTTCCCTACACCCTCCCTCCAGAGACAGGCCTCTTTGAGTCCCCTGAGACAGTGCAGCACTTCCACCTGTAGCAGGGATGGCTCAAAAGTGCCCCCCAAGCCTCCCTCCACCTCGAAGAGGAAGCAGAGAGTGGGTAAGTACAGCGGATGCCTGTCAGTTGCCACCGGGCAGTCTGGCCATGTCCCCAACCTCAGAGGAGTCAGCGCCAGGCTGACGTTCGATGAGCCCCAATCCCAGAGGCCCTGTGGATGGAAATGATGTGAAATACGATGTTTAATAACCAGAGCCCGCCGGCGTCCCTTCCAAGGGAGTGTGCAGCCCTCCTCCCCTTCCGCTTGCTATTTTCGGCCATGCTAAGAATAGCCTGCTTTAAATACCCGTCTCCCTCCTTAAATGGGCTCTCAGGACTGCCCCCACAGCACCTTTCTAGAACTCCCAGCAGGGAGCAGTCCCTCAACAGACCCAATTCACACATCTACCACAGGGACCTTGCTGAGACTTCTGTTAGCACCAGGTGTCTGTCCTGCTTCCCCCGACGCGTGCCTCTGACAGCTAAGCCTGCCCCAGCCCTGGGAGATCTTGCTCAGACATGGACCCCATCACGCACTTGCCTAAAGACCTTCGTGTCCCTCGTCACCCAGTGAAGCCAATCCAAACCCCTGAGCCTGGTGTTCCCAACCGGGCACATTACACAGCGCCGTCAACCTTCACATTCTCGTTTCCTGAGAAGCTACTGTGCGCTGGGTGCTGCTCTAGGTGCTCACAGGGCCCTCAATTCCTGTCCTTGTGTTGCTCTAGTCACAGAGAAACCCCCCATTTGGCTGCTGCTCAGCCTGTGAGCCCTGCTCTCCCCAGGACAGGGCCCTCAGGTGGGGGGACCGGGCCCACCGCTCACCAGGCTCCAATTTCCTCTATGACAGCATCACTGTGCCAGATGCTGCTAGAGGCCCCGCTAGCACAAGGCCCCACCCTCACACATACGCTTTTAAACCCTCAGTGCATGCAAAGGCCCTAGGGCACAAGAGCAAGGCCCTCCCCATTTGCTCCTGCAGGGCCAGCAGGCACTCACTTGTTGAAGAGATTGAGGCCGATGCGATAGTGCCTCTTGCGGATGACATCATTGCTGAAGGCGGGGGAGTCCCAGCTGTTGCGGGTCTCCTTGTGGTAGGTCTGCTTGCTGAGTGTCTGCTCCCTCAGGCTGTCCCGGGATGACGACTCGGAGCTGCAGTTGATGGTGTCATTGGAGTTGGATGTGCTGTTGATGCTGTCGTTGTCCCCATCCGAGTAGTCGGACTCCGACTTGCTCTGCCTGTTGGCCGAGCCGTTGATGGCCAGGTGGCTGTCCAGGGGCCGGGGGGGCCGGGACCGCAACTCCGGCTCCTCCCGGGGGAGGCTCTTGGGGGGGCCGCCCAGAGGGCCGTGCTTGGGGCTGCCCTGCGGCCCGCCCAGGCTGCGTTCATAGGCGCTCTGCCTCTTGAGCGAGCCACGGTCCGAGCGGTCACTGAGGTCCACGGAGCTGTCGCTGGGCGGCTCGATGGTGAGCAGCGGGAGGTGCTCCACCCGCAGCCGCTGCTCCGGCCGCTCGAGCGACGGTGTGCTCCGGCAGCTGGTGTCCGTGTCCCCCTTGTCGTCCTTGTGGGCCAGAGCCCAGTAGTCCTGCGCGGTGCCCCCAGCCCGCAGCCGCAGGTCCGACTCCGTGCTGGGCGGCCGGTGCCCCGCCTGCGAGAGGGGCAGGGGCGGGGACAGCTCCTCCTCGTCGATGTACAGGGTGACATCACTGTACGAGGCCGTCATCTCGTCCAGTTTGTGGTGGTCCACGCTGTGCAGGGCCGGCTTGGGCTCGGCGTCCCGGGTCCGCCCTGGGTCGGGGGCCGGCGCCTCCTCGGCGTGCAGGCTGCGGCAGTTGAGGGCGTCGTCGATGGACTCCGCCAGGGACTTCACCTGCCTCGAGAAGGCGTCCTCCAGCTCCGTGATGGCGTCCGCGAAATCGCTGGACGGGGCGGGAGACTTGAGGGCGGGAGGCTCGCCAAGGTCGCCACACTCGGGCGGCACCAGGGCCCCGAGCTGAGAGCCATCGTCAGTCACGGAGACCTGCTTGCCCTCGAAGTAGGAGCTGTGCACTTTCTCCGGGCCCTCGAAGGAGAACTGCATCCTCATGTTGGACAGCACGATGCGACGTGACATGCGGTTCTCCGACATGGAGCTGCGCAGGCGCTCGAAGTTCTTGTTCATCTGGTACTGGCGGAAGGCCGTCTGGATGGTGCGGGCCGCATGGCGGGTCACAAGGCGGCCCCCATACTTGCGTTCTAGCATCTCCACCTGGTTGGGGGCAGGACAGGACATCAGTGAGCTCAGCCCAGTGTGAGTTCAGCCCCCTGCAGCACCGGCGCAGCACCACGCCCACCCATGGTCGTGTCCGCCACCCAGCTCCGTGGCTGCAGCAGCCAGAAAGGCCCTGGCACATCCTGAAGTTGGTTATGACAACCACGGAGGCAAGCTTGTGGGGTCGCCCAGAAAAGGGGTTCCCCGGGACCAAGAAGATGGAGAAACCCCCTGTTGAAGGGAAAGCAAGGATGTTCCCTGCACGACCTCCCAGAACCTTTGAAAGGTGGAGCGTTTCCAAATTTCTTTGGACACAGAAGCCTTTGACCCCAGCATGTCTTGTGGCCTGGGCTTTAATGAAACTAGCGAGATGCTGGAGGAGGAGCAGGCAGCCCCTCCAGAGGGGAGGAACCCGAAGCATGAGCAGGTTAAGGGACCAGCCAAAGGTTTCAGTGAGATCCTGGACCCGGACCCTTGGTGGCAGGCTTCGGGACTTACTTCCTCTTAATAGCACTGACCTCGTGCTCTTACCAGCTAGTGGAGGTGGTGGTGGGGGGTGTCACTGAGTTTCAGGGAGGCCTGAAATAATCACCTTAGTGGGGAGCAGGCTTCAAGGTCACATGCCCGGGCTCTAAGCCTGGCCCTGCCCCTCGTTAGCTGTGCCACTCTGAGCAAGCCTTGGGGCCGTGCATTTCCTGTTTCCTCATCTGTAAAGTGGGGACAGTACTTAGCCCTACCTCGTAGGACTGTGATGAGCACCTGATGAGACGGACACAACAGCTTGGCTCATGCCAAGCACGGGGACAGCTGGGCCTAGAAGACCCTCAGTTCCTGGAAGATGTTTATGGTTTGGGGGGTCCTCGACTCCCCTCACTGGACAGATGGGGAGACTGAGGCCCAGAGAAGTGACTCAGCTCAGAGGCGGAGGCCTCCAGACTCCAGAGCAAGCATTCATTCTGCCACCCCAGGTTCCGATGGCCCCTCTTCGTGGTGAGGTTCAGAGACGGGGCCGGGCTATAGGCAGGTGGCACTGTCTGAGACTCCCCCGTGTGACACCCAGACTCCCAAAGCCCCGAGGCTCACTCAAGCCCTTGGTGATCAAGGACAACCCTGAGGACAGCTCCCTGTGCCTTGCTCCTGAGTGAAAACATGCCCCGTAAAGTAGGAGGCTACCCCGTAGGAAGCAAAGAAAATTCAAGATAAGCAACTGGCTTCTCCACCAAGCCAGGGTTCTTGGGCTGCTGGGCAGAGGGGGTGCCTGATGAAGGGGCCAGGAGAGGCCTGGGGCCTTCAGGAGGAAGGCACTTTTGCGTCAAGGAGGAGAAGCACCACCCCCTGGCCTGTCTAGACCCCACCTACCTATGCTGTGCAGGACATCACACCAAAGCTGGTGGCACAGAGAGATAAGGTCCCTGCCCTCCAGAAACGAAGACAAGGTCCCTCTCCTCAGGGAACCAGACAGATACACACACCTAACTGAAAGAAAACCAAACAGACACCGACCAAATCCACACTATGGCCCGAGTTGGGGGAGAGGGTTGCTCAGAGCCACTGTGGGGCGGGCCAGGAACAGAGGGCTTGGGGCCTCACGTACCCTGGTGCCGGTCCTGGTCCCCTCACTTCCTGGCTCTGGGAGGCTACCCACGTCAGGGACGCCGGCTCCCCCTGGCCACTGAAAGTGTGGGAGAGGGAGCAGCAGGCTGGGCAGAGCGGCTCCCTTCATAGCAGGAGAGGGTAGTGTGTGTGCATGTGGGGGTAGGGGGGTGGATCAAAACGACTTTTCTGGGCCCAGAGTCAGCCAGGGTGGGTCTGTTTTTTCTCTTGCCCTGAAGTTACTAAACACCATCCAAAGAGATGACCTCACTTCCACATCTGTAAGCAGACTGTTTTTGGGGGTTTTGAGTGGAGCTCTGAAAGCCGACGGGGCCGATAAAGGGCCCAAGGCTGAGCTCTGGGAAGCCCCCCTCCTCCGCCCTTCAAGGCCGGTAGCCTGGCCCCCCTCATGTCGCCTTCGGGGGCAGAGTCATGATACCAGGGCCACCAGCTTAGGCCCAGGGCTCACTCGGGGCTCTTTCTCTCCTGCTGACTGGGGGCCTAGACAATCAGGCAGTGACGCTGTTTGTCTGAGACCGGCTCCCCAAATTTGGGGGAAGGGTGAGGGGGGATGAAGAGGGACCTTGGAAAGGCAGGAATTGGCTCTGTGTTGACATCAAAGCCCCCCTCAGTCCCTCCTTCCTGGTCTTCCCTGGAGGACACACACTGACCCAGGCCTGCTCTTACACAGTCCCCAGATTCATGGTGGTCATTCCTCCTCCTGGGCCACAACGGACCCGAGGCCCAGCCTGAAAGTTTACTGGGGTTCAGGGGAGGGAATCCAATTTTTATGTGTTCACCTGCTGTATGTCACCTTCACCCGATACTCACAGGACCTCCAGCCTATAGAGTAGCCCTGGGATCCCCCTTCTCGGAAGACAGAAGCTCTGGGAAGTAACGTGACGCGGAGGTGACCCCTAGCCCTCCCTCTCCCTTTAAAAGGATGCGTCTCAACAGTGGGGGAGGGACAGGGAACAGAGAGGAACACCCTTCCACAAAGCAGAACTAGCAGCTCTGATGACTCAGGACTCCTGCTCTCTTTGATAGGAAACCACCAGAAGGTGCAGAGGCCCTGAAGCCAAAGGGCTCCCTTCACTAAATGGGACTTTGCTTACTTGGCTTTAATCTTCGTGGAATTGTGTACCCTACTTTCACTGGGCAGTTCCCATGTAACCTGTCCTGTTCCCATTCTTGCTTTCATTGCCGGGAAGCTCAACAGCTCAGTGGTCCTCTCATCTTTTCACCACCTCTTCCTTGCCACCCTTGTTCTGCCTCAGGGCCTTTGCACCTGGGGTTACTGCTTCCTGGAAGGCCACTTCCTTCAAACGCTCAGTTCAGATGCCACCTTGAGGAGGCCTTCCCCACCCCCCTTATCCAATGCTGTCACCTCCCACAGCCACCACTTCTTCCCCCTATTTCGTGATCTCTGGGGTTTGTATCACACTCTGGAATTAAACTGTCTTTATTGCTAACTTGCTTGTGGGACCATCTCCTGGACCAAAGTGTCAGCTCAAGAGCTGGGGCCTCACCCTGTCCACTGTGGACTCCCCAGCACCCAGCACAGCGTCTAGCACACACTGGGTATTTGGCGAACATGCGTGGTATCAGAATGACCAGCTGTGGCCCCAGGAAGGCCATATGAACCCAAGGTTTATCTCCATAGGCCTCTGTGAGGTCTTCAACTTCCTCACTTCTGTTTCCCAACGCTTCTGCTGGAGGTCTTTTATTATCATCTGCTTCTGATTCACTTTGGATGTGGGTGTAAGTGATCAGTGGAACAGAGGTGGTCTTCCCCTGTGGTGGGCCTGGCCATGGAGCCAAGTGCCACGATGGGTAGGGGGGTGGGGGCGGTTTCTGCTCCCACAGCCCAACGGGGCCATCTGTAGAAGGATGGAGAGAATCAGGGGTGAGATAGGTAGCCTGAGGACAGGGAGAGGAGGGGGCTGGTAGGAGACTTTGTTGGGGGCAGAGGGCCGGGAGGAGGAAAGACCCATCTTGGGCAGTACCCACATGGTTCCCGGAAGTCAGGTGCCATGACAGGCCCAGACCGCTGCTCCGCAAAAGGCAAATAGGGGCAAACAGAGGGTGGCAAGGTGAGGGGTCGATGTGACCACCTAGGACTCATAAGGAGATAGCCTGGGACCTGGGGGAAGCTGGACAGATAAGCCTGACCCCCCCAGCCCCCGTACATCTACACAGCTGCTTGCCATAGCCTGAGGGTCTCCTGAAGCCAGAAACGTCCCTTCAGTTTCACCCAAGAATTCTTACTCAAGGGTCTCCTGGGGGCCTGTACTCCGGAGGTCCTCAATGCGATGCTCTTTGTCCCCCACCCCAGTGATCGCTCACTCCCTCTGCTCCCCACCCCCTACCCAGCTGGGACAGGCCTCTCCCTCAACCCAGGAGGCTATCTTTAGTCCTTCTCTGGAGCCCAGCCAGGCGGGCAGGCCATGCACCCTCCTCGCCCTCCTGGCACATGGACCCAACCCCACAGTGGGTCTGCGGCAGGAAGCAGGCCTTCAGTGTGGCCGTTTCCCACGAGAACACAGACTGTAACCCAAAGGGGATATAAAGCAACCTCGCCCGTGGGCTGTGGACAGGCTTGGTGTTCTTTTCGGAGCGTGTTCTATTTATGTTGTACACTGACCTCCTGCCCTTCTCCTCGGACACTCCTCCTGAGGACTATCTAAGGTTCAGGTGTCCCCTGGGACCTCAGACACACAGCGTCTGGCCACTGAACCTGTGTGCATGGCCATGGGGACAGGGAGTGGGGCAGAGACCCAAGTCCTGATACCTCAGTCCCTTCACTTGGGGTGCCTCCGTGCGTCGGGCAGAGCAAGAAGGGAACCCTGGGCGGAGGTGAAGGCCATGTTCATAGCACAGGTGCACCTGAGTGGACGTCAGTCTGTGGGAGAGCTGAGCCTCCTGCAGCCTCAGGAGGGCCCAGCAAAGGCCCCGGCACCTGTCTCCAGCCAGAGCCACCTGGCTGCCTGTTCCCCAGCCCCCCACCTGCTCCCAAGGCTGGCCCCACCTACCTGCTTGTCCTGCAGGTCGGAGGAGAGCTCATAGCTCTCAGACAGTGACCGCGAGCGCTTGATGGCCTCCTCCTCGGCCTGTTTGCGTAGGATGGAGGTCGAGTGCTGCAGTTTGGGCCTCCGTGTGCGCTGCTGCTGCCCCGAGTACAGCCCATAGGCTCCCACCGACGCGTGCTCGTAGCGGTCGGGGCTCAGACTGGAAGCAGGCGTTAGGGGGCCCTGGTGGTAGGCCGACGGGCTGTCCAGCGACGTGCCGGTCTCGCTGCTGGGGGCCTCGCCCTCCACGCTGCAGGGGACAGAGACGAGAGAGAAGCCTCCTGTGAGTGGGAGACCAGACCCCGGGGCCCGACAGGGAGCCGGAAGGTGTGAGGGGGCCACAGGCAGGAGGCAGCCCCACAGCATTCCCCACGCCGCTGGCTGGCCTCTGACATACTTCACTGATTGATTTTGCTCACTGTCCGTCTCCTACGTGAGGACCTCAGCTTTGCGAGGGCAGAGGTTGGACACATGATGTGCACTGACGAGCCCCAGTGCCTACAGCAGGGCCTGGTCCATGGCAGGAGAGGGTCAGTGAAAATCTGCTGAGCAGCTAAATGGATCCGGTCCCCTTCTCTCCCTCATTCCCACCACCTGACTTAAGTAAACCACTGATTTTTGTACCTTCTGTTCTTATTTTAAAAAGACATTGATAGAAGTGACTCCTTACTACATACCTACTTAGGGGTCAGGCACTGGGGAGGGGGGGTTAGGGGCTGAGCCGTGTCCCCCCAGAATTTATATCTTGAAGTCCTAACGCCCAGTACTTCAGAATGTGGGGGAGACGGTCTTCAAAGAGATAGTTAGGTTAATGAGGTCCGTCGGGGTCCTAATCGAACGAGACTGATGTCCTTCTAAGAAGAGGAGGAGATGAGGACCCAGACATGCACAGAGGGACGACCATGTGAGGGCAAAGGGAGAAGGCGGCCAATCTGCACACCAAGGACAGAGGCCTCAATGGCACCAGCCGTGCCGACACCTTGATACTGGATTTGGGGCCTCCAGAACAGTGAGAAAATAAATGTCTGTTGTTTAAGCTGCCCAGTCTGTGGTCCTTGTTATGGTGGGCTTGGGAATGAATACAGTGTTATACGTACATTTTTCTTTTTTAAAACCTTAAATTAGTCTGCAAAGAAACAATTACTAGCCCCCCTTTTCCAGGTGGGGAAACTGAGGCCCACAGAGGTACAGAGACCTGCCTGCACAGGTAGTGAGTGGATGAGTTGAGGTCAAAGCCCAAGTTGTGGGATTCCAAGATTTGGTGGGGGGTGTGTGTGCACCCCTCCACCTCGTTGAGCCTCATCCCCAGGATGCAGACACTTCCCTCTCAACATTCCAAGCGCTAGACTAGGGGGACAGAGAGGGACTGGCTGGCTTACTCATCCCAAACTCAGGAACTCAGAAAACAGACATGGGCTCCTGTTGCAGACTGCTTTTCAGTATAGCACAAAGAGGCAAGGCTGTGTCTAACACAGCATCTAGCAGCCTCTCTGGTCAAGCCTTGCCATTTTCCTGTCCTTGCAGGGTATCACTCAACCTTTAAAGACCCTCTGATCCCTGGGGCCAGGGCAGGGGTCTCTCTGGAAGGGGCCCAGCAGAGAGAAGGGAACACAGCTCCCCTTTCCAGGCTGCAGTCCTTCCTCCATGGTCCTGTCTTCAGACCAATGGCAACATGCTGGGTGTGACAGCCTTGGGAACAAGTGTCTACCCCCTGCCTAGCTCTGCTTCCAGTCAATGTCACAAGGCCTGGCAGTGCCGCCCTGTGAGTGTCGAATGGGACTGTTCACAGACTCCTGTGGGAGGCAGACTCAGAGTGGGGGCAGAGGGAAGTAGCCTGCCCTGTGGTTCCAATTCTGCCCCGAGCCAGGGACGGGCTGCAAATCCCTACACTTGCCTTCCAACTTGTAGTTCAAGAATAGTACAGGACTTCCGCTCCACCAACTGGCTCTGGCCTCTGAGAACAGGCTGTGGGTATCCTGTGACAGAGGACGGTCCCTCTTGCTCCCCAGAAGCTTAAGTGTGACAAAGGTCTTTCCTTGGGGAAGAGCTCTGAGTGTTCTGCCTTCATCTGGCGGCAAATCAGGGTGGGTCGCCCCTCATTTCAAGGCCTATCTCCCTGTCTGTTATCCATGTGGGATGGACCAGATGCTTTTAAGGTGTCAGAGGAATACCCACCCTTTAAGACTCTCCTGACATCAGTTACCCAAGAGCAGTCTCCTTTGGGCCCGTGTATCCGCGAGGGGGAGAAGGCGGGGGAGAAGGATGGGGACAAGCAGAGCTAAAAATTCTCCCATTCTTCGGATAAAACTTTGAGCAACACTTCACAATAAATACTTGATGGCTTGATCCATGGTTGTATGAAAGAGAGAGGGACACCCCTGTCAGACCTGTAGGCAGTTAATAAAGCAAGTCCACCCACAAAAAAGGCAGCCCAAAGCCCCCGCCTTCACTCCAGCCCCAGGGTGTCTCCCTGCCTCACCCTCTCTGGGCGCCCTGTGAGCATCTCATAAGGAAGTATTTCACCCTCACGCCCCCCATACTGGAAATGCTTCAGTCAGGGGCAGAGTCTGTTTTTCCGAGCAAAAGGCTGACAGGAAACAAAATCTCATCCTTGAAGATGAGCAGCTGCGGCTCTGGTCAGAAGGTTTTAAAATAGTCTCACAACCCCGAGTTTACAGAAACACAGGGAGATTGAGGGGCAGTCTCCGTGCAGGTCCTCAGAGCAGGAAGCCCTTCTGTCTGTGCCTCACGGTGGCTCCGTCAGAGAGCAGTGGGCCGGGACCCTCACTGTGCTGCCCCGATGTGCCCTGGGATAAAGAAGCAGTGTCCACCTCTCATGTCTGTGGGGGATCCAACCCTCTACCTAGGCCTTGCCCTCTGGGCCTCAGAGTAACAGTGAACAGGCAAAGGAGGATTCTTCCTGACGACGGTGGGGACGGGGCGGGGGTCAGTCTGTGAATCTGGTAGGTTGTTGTCATTCCCTGGTGGCTGTGGTTTGGGGCAGAAGGGGCTGAGGGAAGAGAAGCAAGTGAGATGCTAGTGAACTCAAGGGCTGTATGTTGCCTGGTAGTGCGGAAGAGCCTGGCTATCTCGATGGCTGGGGTCACGAGCAGGATGTCAGCTTGGGTCCTGGCATGACAGGGACATAGGTGGCTGGTGGGAAGCAAGCACTTTCTAGGCTGTGCCAGTCCCAGGATTCTGGCTTTGAGCATTACCCTGCTCCCAACTCTCTTAAGGCAGGAGGTTCTAGAACATCCTAGGGAAGGAAAGAGCCTTTCTTTCACAAGCCTCCCCTCACAGCCAAGGAAAGGGGTCTGATGGTCACCTGCAGCCTTTCTCGTCACCATGACGCCAACTCCAGTCTCCTCTCTCCTATCAGCCCTATCGTCCAAACATACCCAGGCTCTCCCACTTCTCAGCAGATGGTCCAGGCCACCATCACTGCTCTCTGGATTATCACAACAGCCTCCTCAACAGTCCCCCTGCCTTTCTCTTTCCCATGGCCACCACAGTGACTCTGATAAAATAGAATATCGAGGGTGCCTGGGTGGCTCAGTGGGTTAAGCCTCTGCCTTCGGCTCCAGTCATGATCTCAGGGTCCTGGGATCGAGTCCCGCATCAGGCTCCCTGCTCAGTGGGAAGCCTGCTCCCCTACCCCCACCACCTGCCTCTCTACCTACCTGTGATCTCCGTCTGTCAAATAAATAAATAAAATCTTTAAAACAAAACAAAACAAAAAACCACAGAATATCGCGTTCCTTCCTCGGTCTCATCACACTTAGAAGACGCTGTCCTTGCAATGTCCTTGAACGCCTGCTCTCATCTCGGCTCTTTTCCCCCACGCCTTGCTCATTCTGACTTCCCGACTCACTGGCTTTCTTTCTCTCCGCTCAAAGGGGTCAGGCACATTCCTGCCTCAGGGTCTTTGCACTGGCTGTTCTCTCTGTCTGGAACACTTTTCCCCATGTCTCTGCTATCGCCAGATTTAAAATCACAGCTCCCTCCCCCTCAAGATTCCTGGTCTCTTTCTTTGCTTTGCTTTGTTTTTCTTTTCTTTTTAAATCTTCGATGATGATCATCACTTCAAAACACATAATATACTTATCATGTTTTTTGGTTTGTGGCTGTCTCCCATGTCAGTACATAAGTTCTACAACGGTGAAGATAATTTTTCTGTTTTGCTTACTGATGTTTCCCAAGCGCCAACTTATGTGCCTGGCTAGCAGTGCTCAGGAAATACTTGCCAAGTGAGGGAAGGCATTTCCCCATGCCTACTATTGGCTGAGTCCTGGAACATCTTACAGCATCCCTGCCAGACCTCCTATGTGCCCCAAACCAAACTCCTTATCTTTCTCCATCCTCACGCAGTGACCCAAGCCGGGATCCTGGCTGTCATCTCTTCAGTCCCTCCCACACCGCCAGCTCCGGCCCTGCCCCACTCAGTCTGCCACCAAGTCCTGTGAGATCTACACGAACAGTATCCCCTTGCCTGGTGCATGGGGCAGGCCTTCCACCCCACCAAAATCAACACCAGCCTCAGACCACCCTGATCAGAACCGAAATGGCCAGGCCACCCTCCTGCAGCCAGCAATGACCCTGCCACGGACACTGCACTCCGGTACAGGAGTGGACAAAAGTGAGAAGTGTGTGAGTGCTTGCATGAAGTTTAAGAACCTGCTGTAAGCCAGAGGATAATCAGAAGCTACATGCTATGAGACATAAAAAGAGAGTCTTTTCTTAATCCGAGCTCGTTCACAGAAAGATCATTTTTTTTTTTTCAAGTGAGAATGCCCAGGGTTGACGGGTATGGGCAGCCACAGGCATTTCAAAAGTTTAAGTTGATGTAACTTTTTCAGAGTACTAGCTAGAAACAGTGATCGAGTCCACTCGATGTGGCAGAAACTCTGGAAGAACCCGTAAAGATGCTTTATGTACAGCAACACCCTGAACCCCTCGCCCCCCTCTTGCTTAGTACTCGGCTGTGCCCCCCAGTTCCTTCGCTGGGGAGTGTGAACAGAACAGTCCTTTTCTCCCTCCCCACAGCAGATCAGACACCTCAGAGATCTTTGCTTTATATGATGTCCACGCCTGACACAGCAGGGAGCTGGAGGTCAGGGAACCACCAGCCCCGGCCCAGCCCTCCACCCCCTCAGAGCCTCCTGCACCAGCAGCCCACCCTGCACACTGCTTCTTCACCACGGTGGTTTCCCAGCTGCAGCTCAATGTCTCATCACCAGGTCGGCTCCTCTG